AGATAGTGAGGCGTCTTCTCATGTCCACGCAATAATTTGTCCCACCATTTCTTCTCCACTTTCTCAAATACACAGAATATATTTCTCAAGCCTATGTTTATTTTGCTTTCCTGAAAAAAATTTTAACCACAAAACATAACTCACTGACAAGTGGATAAATTGAGATTGAAGTTCCATTGTATAACTAGAAGCATACAAGAAATATGTACTGCAGGGGAAAAAATAACTTTTCTCTAGAAGTCCATAACAAGTCACATTATTTGATAATTATTCCTCGTAAACCCACATGACAAGCAATCCACTTGCAATATATGTAAGGTTTAAGAAAATTTGACAAAACCCCTCACCTCTAAATTAACTTTATCGTGAAGATCCAGTTTCAGTTCGTAAGGTTTGTTGTCTGCCCCTGCAGTAGCAGAGAATGTAAAAACTCCTTCTGGGTCGAGATTGACTTTAGTGTCTTTAGCATCCGGTAGCAGCACTGTAATATATACCTTGTCCTCCCTTTGCGCCCACTTGACCTCGGGATGCAGACTGCATAACAAAAAATATATTAGCTGATACTCGCAGGGGAAAGCTGAATCAAGATTACTCTTCAGGGTAAAAATCAAAGTACAGTTGATGCACTGTTAATTAGAGGCAACGTCAATACTCATATTGGTTTGTAATAATAATTGCAATCATTAGCAATATTTAGTTTAATTATTAAATTAATAAGAACCAAAAAAAAAATCTTAAAATGCTACTTTTTTTAAATAAAAAAATACACATTGTTCTTTGATTTAGACTTGTTGAATATTTTTACTTCTAATTACGTCCGTGTCCGTACTCCTTTCCACTTTACATTCAACATCTAGAAACAGAAATTTCTGAATTACATAAATTTTAAATTAATTAAACATAAATTTGCAGAAAACAACAACTAACAGTATCTGAATTCATGAGAATAAAAATAAAAATATTGAAAAGGAAATAATCATCAACTAGATGCAAAGCAAGCAACTTCTATTAAATTTTCAGATAAAGAAGAAAGAACAGTTCTTTGATTTGGAAATGGAACCGCAAAATTAAAATAGAGAAGCAAAAACCTTACCTCATGTTTAAGTTTTCGATTTCTTGAAGAGGAAAGAGAGAACGAAAACCCTAGAAGCAAAGTCGCAAAAATTGTAGGGCGCGATAAGTGTCCAGTGTGCCTTTATATACAGGAAAACTTGCACTATCGGCCCTCAAGCAATTGGTAATTAGGAAGTCAGTCTCCAACCTTTCAAAAAGAACAAATTGTGGGCTCTAAACATTCATGAACCAGCATTGGTTCAGTTGGGCTTGATCATTGAGCTAAATTACTCTGGACAAATGACAGCAATAGCACTAATGGGAGTGAAAAAAACTGCAGTGTAGTAGTTCATTTTGGGTAAATTAATCCAGGGGCTCCCAAGTTTTCCTAAGTGTAATATCTAAGTCCTTAATCTTTAATTTGTGTCACATCATGTCCCCAACCTTTTACGAGCAATTACAAATTATAAAAATAAATAAATCAAAAAAATCAAAATTCATGCTCTACCATTAGCCATTTTGAGTCGTGTCAATGGTTCGTTGACTTTAAAAACTTGAAAACCAAAAGATTTTTCAATAAACACCAATTCATAATCTTGTTACTATCGTTTTGATTGTAGAGCTCGTAATCAAACAAAGAAGCGTCAAAGATTTTTTAAAGAGTTCTTATTGAAAAAAATGTAGTAACGACATAATTTGAATTTATTCAAAGAATTATAATTAATTTTATGAAATGTAAAAGAAATATAGACGGGGGCGGACCCACATGGGGTCATGTAGAGTCAAATGATCCCACAAATTTTGAGTTTTTATTTTTTAATTCTATAGTGTAGTGAATTTGGAAGAGAGAGAAATAGGAAAACAATTGAATTATTATAGTAGAAGCTGAGAATTCTGATTGAATGGGACAATCTGAATCAGGGAAGATAACACTGCTGAATGTTCGGGCAGGTCAAATAGTGGCATCACCATAATTATATTTGTGTGGCCATTTGGAGGTTAATGGGCAACCATTTTTAGAGTTGAAGTTCAAGAACCATTTTCTGTTGCAGCTAAACTCCAGCTGCAGGGAATATTTTCAGTGTAAGAGAGAAACGAATGTGTGAATGATCTCTTTTTAAAACTAGGTCTTGTAAGTATGCCTTTATTTTCTTTGAATTTCATTTGTGTAAGATGGTTTTGCATTCAAAATTAGAAATGCTAGACATTATGCTGACGTTATGTTCACGATTTTTATCTGTCTTCCATATATTGTTACTAAAAAAATTCTTGTTTATTTATTGACTATGATTCTTGCTGTTATATGCATTTTTATTTTTGACTCTACAATATAGAAGGTCTAGGTCTGTCCCTGAATATAGAGACTAGTCTATGAGCTATGTTTTGCTGTAGCTCTTGCTTGTGATGAAGACAAGAAATAAGAAAGGTGAAAACATTGCAGTCACTGTACCAAACATTTCATTTAATAGCAGTTTTTGTCCAAACATTTCATTTGTTCTACCGTGAGTACCAAACCTTCAAAAAAAATCGCAGCTCAAGTCCAAAATGATGATTTCGTTCAGTTTGACTACGAAAACCGTCAGTTGACTCCCAAAATAAAAAAAAATTCATTATTTTCCCCCAATAAGGCAGGGACATTTTGAACAAATCACATTTCCTCAAATAATAGCAGACTTTGCTCAAAGGGTTTGGTGTTGAAGAAGAAAGGGGCTTTTGTGGGAGAAAATGGGTTTGGCGTTGAAGTGATTTTATGTCGAAAAGTTCTTATTTGGATGTTGTTTTTAGGTCTTCATTGAAGCTCTGTTTCTCTGGTTCTTCTTCTTCGACTGCTCTCTGCGTGCAACAATCCATCTTCTGTGCACTCCAAAAGAGAACCCTCTTTTTTTTTTTTTCCATTTCTTTCAATGCCTTTGAGACCTAAAAGGCGAAACTTCTTCCTTAGACTTATGGGTTTTTTCTATGTATATGTCAAATGATTTTTTTTGTGTATAAATATTTGTTGTTTTTGACTTTTTTGGTCTTTTTTTACTATTCAAGGTTGATCCGATATATTTTTGTCCTATTTTCTGGGGTTTGTTTTGTTTTATTTGCACATTTCTTCCTTAAATCCCTATGTGGTTTTTTTTATAGATGTCGTATGATATTCTATTTATATTTTCTTATGATGTTTTTTATTTTTTTTTTTTTTGCTATTTTTGTGGATTCTGTTTTGCAGGACTTGTTCTGGAGTTGAGAGTTTTGTGGGATTTCACATAAAGAGATTAAATATGTTCTTGCTCTTGAGAGGTCCTAAATTAATGCTCCTTAAAATTGGTGAAGCCGGTGTTGGGTAGGTAATGGAGGCTGCTGACAGTGACGATGGCGGTTGGGTGGAGTGGTTTTGATTTTGGAGAAAAAGAGGATGAGGATGGGTTGTGATTTATTTTTATTTTTTTTTTAATTTTTTTTAATTTAATAGGGGAAATGCGATTTGTCCAAAATGTCCCCGCCGTATTTGGGGAAAATAATAGATTTTTTTTATTTTATTTTTGGAGTCAACTGACGGTTTTGGTAGTCAAATTGACGGAAATCGTCATTTTGGACTTGAAAGTGAATTTTTTGAAAGTTTGGTACTTGCGATGACACAAATGAAAGGTCAGGTCAAAGTCTGCTATTAAATGAAATGTTTTGTACCATGGTTGCAATTTTCCCAAAGAAAGGTTAATGAAGAAGACAAAGTATTATATTGATTTTTTTCCTTTTTTTTAGTTTTTAATCTCTATAATAAAATTTTGGCATCTTCCTTAAGGAGGGTAAGATTCTTCACTAGAGACGCAAGTGCTACTGAAATGAAAGATTGTGGACCAAAATGCTCGATTTTAAAGGTTTAGGATCAAAATGCAACATAATTCAAAGATTTGAGACCACCACTATTTCTTGACAACAAAGTACGGAACCATTCCATTCCAGCTCTTCGTCTAATTCTACGCAGCATGTCTCAAAATTTCCAATCTTTACACACACCGATCGCTTTAATGTCTGATGGAAACGTTTTTTCGTTGCAAGCAACCTGTTCGATAAATTCCCTGACTGATAAAAGTAAAACTCAAACCAGTTTATTCAATCTTACACACACCAATCGTAGTAATGTTCCCAAGACGTGATCGGACAATCTTTCACTTCAATCAGATAATTTCAAGATGTTGCAACGTGAAAAATTCAGCTACAAACGAGCTGTAAAACTACCCTTGTGCATTATACTCGACTGGGTCGAGTTAGATAGAGCTGTTGAGAAATTATGTTAAAAACCAGTAAAGTACATGTGGAATGAAAGAGGAGAAAAACGGCCAATTTGTGGCCTATGCGACTGCATTGGACCACATGGCCATCAATAGGGATTCAAGCCCCTGTTTTGAACTCCTCTATGCGACCGCATAGAGGTGTATAGAGCGTAGAGGTACTCTATGCGGTTTTGGAGGCCGTTTTCGACCATTTATTTTTTGAATTTGGTAGCTTTTCACTCAAATTTTGGCACTATTTCGTGCTTCTAGTCAATGCTTATATATAGGGGATCCAAGTTCAAGGCAAATATATATGAAAAACACTTGAGATACATCATTCCAAAATCAAAGATCAAAAACTGATTCTTCATCATATTCAAAATTTTCATTTGTGTTCTTCAAGTTTTGGGGATTACACTTTATGCTTAAATGTTTAATCCTTACAAGGCTTGTTTAATCCTTCAAACCATTTTTCGAAAAACCTTCAAGCATCATTTTCATCCGTGAGGGGGCAAATATAGTTTGAGGACAGTGATCACGCGTTCGAACCTTCAAGTTTGATCCTGGTTTGTTCGTGTTTGTTCATCTTGTTGCCGATTTTCTAGTTCGTTTCTTCTCCCAACTCCGGACTCCGGTGCATCTCCAACAGGAGCTACCAAGAAGGCTTAGCAAGTTTGATGAAAAGCCATGGTAAATGATAATAGTGAAGTGAAACGTAAAGCTAGATTGGTAACGAAAGATAGAGAAGTGGTTACAGAGGTAAATTTACGCCCTCCCGAAAATGGGCTGTTGGTAAAAGAACTAATAACAGTTGCTCACGAAGTTTTAGCTGCCAGAAGTGAGTTATTCACTTGCATTCAGTGGCGGATCCAGCACCGGCGAGCCCCGGCGGCCGCCCGTGCTGAATCCACTGGGAGCTTCAGTTGTCGCTGGAGCTAGAACCTAGAAGCTTGAATAGTTGAATTGCAGAGAGGCACCGTCTGAATTGTGGATGAAGATGAACATGTTTCGAATTTGAGTTTTTTTTATTTTAAAGTTGGACCTTTTCATTGGGCCTCTTTTTTTAAAAAAAATTAGGCCCAAATCCTAATTTCAAAATCAATTACCAGGTCCAAGCCCATTAAACCATTTACCAATATCCCACACCAAATATGTTCCAAACGCAGCTGAATCAGGCAAACCCTCGTGTTGGCTGCTGCCATGCGGCTCTGAATGCGAGTTGCGAGTTGCGAACTACGAACTCAGCCTCTGTGACTGCGACTGCTGGTGCGTGCGTTGCGACCGGTGAGTCTATTTGTGACCTTCTTTTGCATTTGTAAAATCTACGTTACTTGCTTCAGTATATTTTGGTAGCATATTGTTGAATGTTGATGCCGATTGCTGTGTTGATTTTGTGTTTGTTGAAGCCAGAAGGTTGTTAAACCCTAAAGTTGTGGATTAGCTGGATATAGTTCTTGATGATTTTGGCCTGATTGGCTGCAAAGCAAGGTTAATTGATTTCTCATTTTCCTTTTCAGTAATTTGAACATATATATCGCTATTTAATTGGAGATTATAAGTAATTTGAACATATATATTTGGGAATTGGGAGATTATTGGAGTTATGAATCTAGTTTTAATTATGACTGTTAGTATGTAATATGTTTATATGAATTGACTGCAAAATCATTTATGTTCTCCTCTTGGTGTTTAATCTTGTCTGCAATTGATTACCGTAAAAACAAGAAAATGGGTGTTGTACAATTGATTTGGAAATGTGTTTCTTAGGAGACTAATTAATTGCTTACTAGCAGATTGAAAATAGGGCTTATTAGGCTTGGTTTATCACAAGCTAATAATACTGGTGTGGATCCTTTGTAAGAAATGTTAAAAAATGTCAAGATTATAGATTTATAGATAGATTAATATAAAATGAAGTAGTGAATTGAAACAAGATTAATTATAGACACCTCTTAATAAACTTCTTGATGATAATAATTTCTCCTTATATGTGTGTGTGTGTGTGATTTTTACATTTTAGTTTATTTACATGTAGATTGAATATTATTTAATTAAATATTAATAAACGATTTTGCTATTATGGACGTTGACGGTTGACGGTCAACTTCCACAGTGCCTAGGTTGGATGAGGAATTGCTTGAAGGCAGGGGCGGTACAGTGGAGGCGGTGGGGCCCCACAGTAAATCTGAAAATTCAATATTTTGCCCCAATTTTTTTTTCAAGATTTTCAAAAATATCTTTGTAATTTCCAATTTTTGCCCCCACAATCAAAATTGTGTAATTTGCCTCCACAAATCTTTTCTAGCTCCACCCCTGCTTGAAGGTGTGTGTATATCTCCGAGGAGAAGTAACTCATAATGGTTCAATTCAAATTTCAGCTATTCTTGCATAAAACCTATCCCCTCCCAAAATAAAATTAAAAACGTAATATGTTTCTAGGCAATCTTAGCGAAGGACATGTTTGATTTGACAACTTTTCCATGGAACTTGAAAATGAAATTCCATCTTCCACCAAAAGTAATGTTTGATTGGGAAGATTTTCTTATCAATTCATTTTCCATCTTTTGCCTCACATAGTTCCAATTCCATGGTTATGAGGAAAACCAAATCCGACCAATTTTCCAGGCTATTTTTTTTTTTTTTTTTGCAATGGAAACAAATTCTATCCCCAAATATAACAAATTATATCCCTTTAATGAACAATTTTCATGTNTTTATAACCAATTGAGGAAAAATATTATCATTTTAATGGACAATTTTCATGTAAAACAAAGCCAAAAGAACACCAAAAGATCCTAAATTTCAATATTTTCCACGTAAAAAATTATACTAATCAAACACAATTAATTGACAATTCTCAGGAAAACAATTATAGGCAATTTAATTCCCTGAAATTCATTTTTTTTCCACCCAAATTCCACTATTGCAATCAACCAGACTCTAATATTTTATACTAGATTAAACAGCATAACAATCTGCAAGATCTAAAATCACAAGGATAACACTACAGTATTGAAACTTTAAATCTTCCATAAGATTTGCATGAAATACAAATCATACATGCAGCAAACCAAGGCGAGAGACAATGATAGTGCCTCTCGAATTCCAGAAATTTGTCCACGAAACAAAACACACACACGATGGTTCCAATCTGCTCATAACATGTAACCCACTCACAGGAAAACCTCGTTAGGAAAGATGATACTTCTCATGCAGAACTTCTGAATTCTTCATATCAAACCACAGCCATTTCTTACCTGTTTAAAACACAGAGAAATAAAATCCCCTTAGAAAAAACAGAATCACTTTCATCATATGGTGTGATTTAGAAAAAAGAAAACCTAGAGAGACTCCTGCTTCTACTTCGGCTGAGACTCTTGCTTCGGCTACGGCTTCTGCTGGAACTGCGCCTAGTTGGACTTTTACCTGCCCGTTTCTGGCGCTGAAATTCGGCAAATCAAAACAAAGTGGGAACATAAAAAGCACAGAAGCAGAACCACACTTGACTCCAGTTCAAAGATTAGACAGCACTAGATACTATTAAATAATAAAAAGCTAAATTTTCTTCATGCACATAAGAGTTATCAACACATCAACAGAAATCAGAGAGGACGGAGCACCAGCAATGAGATGACATGTAGGAAGTATTTAACCACTAAAAATATTACTTACAGATGGAGTTGGGGACCTGGATCTTGATGGAGATCTGCAAAAGTTCCAGAAACAACCCAATTTAATATCCACTTGTGCCTCTTAACAACTTTGCTCCATGAGCCTTGATGCCACATCCACGTCAGAATGACCATGACCAAAATGCATAAGAGGAAACTTGCAAATATTTTAGCAATTTATGGGGAAAAAGACATAAAATAGGGAGCAAAATATGTCCACCTAAATAAGGAATCTAATTAAGAAAGAAACAGAACCTCAAATATAAAGCTAACAAATGTTCTTTAAAAGACCGATCAAGATGCCAAAAGAACCAATAAAGAACTTCGATAGTATGCTTTGGTAGCTTAACAGCATTGGCGACAATGAAAATGTTTCCACCGCAAATAGAGGGTGTTTCCATGTTCAAAGGGCAATTCACAGTCCAGCTTTACTCGCAATCCAATATCTTCTTTGTTTCCAATCTAGCACCCATGGACATTTGCGATGCTCATTAGAACACAGACACCAAGAAGGATTCGAAAGCTTCCATCGATAAAACATCATACCTCCACTACCAAAAGATATGTAGGCAATTGAACCATATCCCACCAAGATCCTAATGTGCAATCCCCAAATTGCGCATACAAGCCATATCTAAAAAACAAAGAACGTGATTCCAATTTGAAAAGAAAAGAATGAACATCATGATTCCTTGATGATACATTTTCAAGCACAATCCAAGAGTGAAATACGGGAGGAAAAGAATCAGAGATAGGGCTACATGAGGGGAGTCTTCAACTACAAATAACTAACGGTATTCATGTATTCATGATTTAAGACATGCTCAGCTTCTGAAAAAGCTCTGACATTTCTGTCAATGGAAAAGGCCTGGTGAAAAATATCAAAGCCACAGGCATTTGTTCAGCTCTTTGTTTATAAGAACTCAAAAGTAATATATGCACCTTTTTGTAGAGACAAATTAATGAATAAATCAAATCCTTTTAGCCATTTATATGTGATTGTAAAGGCGTGGTCTCTAAATAAACCGAAATTTAAACATTTATATGTGCCAGTGATACGAGGATTCGATTTCAGATCCAAAATATCATCTAGAGGTGCAAAATGGACCGTCCCAGTTTTCATGACACTCACCAAGGACCTGGGACTGGCGTGTCCCATGCAGACCTGAACTCATCATATTAATTCTATCATTTTTCACATTGGACTCATGAACATGCAGAAAAGCTGAGTCAGCTGGAGTTGGCATTTTGTACGAAACATTCCGAGCTCAAGATGAGCCCAACCCACCGTCAGCTCAGTTCATAGGCACCCCCAACTCCAATCCAACAAATTCCTCAAAATAAAGAAATGCAGAAACCTGACTAACCCACTAGATGTGGTGATACCGACCAGTGGTACCATGCAAGGAACTGCAGTTGAACTACGTTCAAAAGATGTGCAGGATCAGATGGTTGTGAAGCTGGAAGTCTTGAAAACTAAAGCATCAATGGTCAATCAAAAAGCTGAAAATTTTCGGTTCAGGACATTCAAAGTGCTGACTAGAAGAAAGGGGCCCAGTAACATATTTGAGCTCCAAAAGTTCACAGAACACACACCAATTCAACAAAACAAAATATTCCACAAAAAATACAAAGACATATTATCCACCAATGAAACTTGGCTTATTCATCTAAGCTATGATGTAAAATAGGGTCATTTCACTTTAACGCGATGAAAATAATTTAAACACTAAAAGTACAAATCAGTTTTGATATGACACTAAAAAACAGAATAAAAACAATAAACCTAAAAAATAGAGAGAAATTCAAAATCAACTCATAGAAAATATTTAGCCTGTGTTTGAAACCCATTTTTTTGTAAGATTTCTCATTCTTCTACAGTTTTTTTTTCAAATTTCGTGGGACCCATGTACTAATTCTATCAATTTCCGTCAGAGGATGTTCCCTTCCCACTTGCAAACTGACATTCTGAATCCATTTTCCATGTTGATTCCAATATTGCCCTTCCCATATTTTTGTGTTGGGTGAAAGAGTTAGGTTGAAAAAGGTGAGGGTATTTGTGGAAAATTACAATTATTGGTTGAGGGCAAAATCGGAAGGAAATTTCAAATGGGAATATGGGATTATGGCATTCTGACAGATTTTCGGTTGTTGTCAGCCTTCACTATAGAAAAATGAGAAATCTTGGAAAAAAATGGGTTTCAAACGGGGGCTTAAAACATTCAGCATGAAGAACCCAGGAGAAAGGCGTTGGACATAAAGAAGAAGGAAAGGTCAATGACCAATAAAGGAGCACTCTGATGTAAGTAAATCCTTCAGACAACAAGTGATGAATTCAATGAAGACGGTTACCTAGATACAGAGCGTCCTTTCGACCCAGAGCGAGACCGAGAAGACACAGACCTTGAACGGCGTGAAGATTTGCCCTTGGGTGACTTGCTGCAAGGAGATTGATGAAGTTCATAAATATATTATTAAAACCAACATATCCAAAGACAACAATAATAATTTCTTTTTATGCCTATACTTGGCACCCATTTTTTCCAATACTCATTATCAATCACACGTTTTCCAATAAAATAATTTTACACGTATACCCAAAACTTTTCCTTATTTT